AATTTCACGCTCTCTATAGCACTCCAAACATTAATTTCAGCACTTCTAAGCCACTTACAGCAGTCCAAATCCTAGTTTCAGCACCCAAACATTAATTTCATGCTCTCTACAACACTCCAAAAATTAATTTCAGCACTTCTAAGCCACTTACAGCAGTCCAAATCCCAATTTAAACACCCAAATACTAATTCCAAGCCACATATAACTCTCAATGACTCTTAACATCAATAACTCCTAACAACATTTAATTACCACTAAACAACACTTTTAAAGGAAAGGAAATAATCACATGCATACCACTTAATTCAATTGTATCTACACATTCAACCCCTAAACTTTTACCCTTTTTATATCTGTTGTTCAAACTAAGAGGTTAAATTCTTGAGTTGGCTCACTAATTCTATTATCGGTGAAGCACATGAAGTATTTATGTAAACAGGTGATGAAGTTTAGTTGTTCAATAAGTAAATACGTAGGAATGATATGGTATGCATCCGAATTTTCCAAATTCCTCATACAGCCAGTCCAAATATATTTCGGGTTTGCATAAATCGGATGGAATGAATTCCCAGCTCACATTAAACCAAGCCAAACATATTTTAGATTTGCATCAAATCGAATGGGATGAATTCCGTGTTCACATAAAATCAAGCCAAACATATTTCAGATTTGCATAAATCGAATGGAATGAATTTTTAGTTCACATAAAGCCAAATCAAATATATTTCAGATTTGCATAAATCGAACCGTGTGAGTTTCAAACTTTCAATATGTAAAAAAGGAAAGACAACTCAGGTTTTGTTAAATGAAAACAGATGGGAGTGTCAGATCTTGGATAGCTGAGTGTATAAAAAAAAACTTCAGACTCTATTCATGAACATAAAAAAAAAATCAAGCTTTTAAAGGACTTAATCAAGAATGTAGAATAATCCATGATGTTTCAAAGTTTCTACTTTCATCTTTTACCCAATCAATGAGAGCATAAAAAAAAAAACTCAGCTGTAACAGGGTTAAGAATATATAGGCCATGATAGTACTTTCACAATTAATCAAATATCTGATTATTCACTAAGCATTTTGATAACAAAAATTTCTACTTGCGCATCATATAATCCCTGCATGCTACAAAACTAAGCCCAAATTTCACAATTCGCTGAAGCATACGAATTTGGATCTCATGTCTCATCCAAATAGTTACGATGAAATTGAAAGTCTTATGATAGAATAGTAAAACTTACCTCCAAATGCCTGACGAACAGAGAGGAAGAGAAAGAGGACTTCAGAACAATCAGAGGCGCGAGCGAGGAGGAAGAGCAGCGTATAGGGCTAATCGCTTCAGTGCAGCGAGGTGAACTCGAGCGGAAGAAGCCGAACAGGGATCCTCGGTCGAACGCAAGAGGAGAAGGCGAGCGGGAGAGGGGTTTCTTCGGTCGAGCAAAGGAGCACGGAGCAGACTTTGGAACAATGAGGAGAAGCATGCAAGTGAGGGAGGCGAGAAAAATTTTCGGTCGGTGGGGGGAGTCGAGCGAGGCCCTCTGGCGCTTCGATCGGTGGAGGAAGAGAGGAGACGAGGTTGAGCGGGAGGTCTCGTTCGATGTCGCGGGGGGCTGGGGGTCTTCGGTGCAGAAGGATCGCTGGAAGGAAGTCCTGTCGAGCGAGGGAGATGAGCAAGAGCGAGCGGGGATTTCGTTCGGTGCCGAGGAAGGAGACCAGCGGGAGCGAGTGGAGGATTTCGTTTGAGTCAAAAGCAGCAAGCCGAGGCTCTCGTGAGCGAGAAAGAAATAGGCCTGCTGGAGAAAGAGCCGTTACGAGACAACATTGGCAGGGAAATTAATGATTTCCTTTCCTGCAGACGATTTAATTGGAAAATAATAACATTCAAATATTTTAAATTAATACCAGTTTTAAATAACCCGCTTGAATTTTAAAATTTAAAATTCAAAATCTGTGAGCTGGGGCCTAGCCCGAATCGATCCCGAGTCGAACCTAGGTTGAGCCCGGGCTCAGGTCCCGCTAAAAGAATGCGCATCGATTTCCGTGTCAATTGCGCGTGCACGTAACCCTAGCAATACGGGTGTCCTTCCTAGTTAAAGTTGACGTTCCGGACGCATCGGGGTGGTCCGTTTCGCCATCCGGGGTCGTTCGAACAAGTTTGCCGGCGGTCGGGCTAAAAATGTGTCAACTTCGTGCGTGGTGTAGTGAGTGCGTGAATTGCGGCATTCGCGAGTATTCGAATCATGGTGGGTTCACCTATAGCCGTCTGATCTTATGGGAACTCATTTTCGGGCCCTCTACATGTTAGTCCTTAGCCCTTGCAACTAAGAGTCGAGTGCTTGGGACTACTCATGCGAGGTTTGCACAAAAATGAGTCAAGATATGACTCGAAGTTCTATGGGAGGTGGGCTCCATTACTAGTCCGCTAGGATGGTCAACAAGGGACTCCTAAGGCTAGATTTTGGGTTTTGAGAGTAGGAAACTAAGACCTCACTAAAAATGAGGTCAACAACCCACTATACCCAAGCCTAACCTAGCCTAAAACACCTAACCCAAGCCCTACACTAGCCTAAATACATCTAAGTCCATTAAACCCTAGCCTAAAACACCTTACCCAAGAACCCAAAAAAATTTAATAATAATAAAGAGGAGAGGAAGTGATGATGTGTGCATATGTATGTGATTAAGTGCAAGTGAAAGTGAAAGTGTGTTGCATATGTGTGTGTAATGTGTGTGTTAATGTGCATGTTTTAAAGTAAAAAAATGTATGCTAAAGTATGTGTTAGTGTGTGTGTGCACATGTAAGTATGAGTGAATATGTATGCTAATATGTAAAGGTATAAGTGCGTTTATGTGCAATGTGCATGTATGTCTTATGTGTATTAATAAATGCGTGCATGTTTTGATATAAATGTTCAGGTAAATGTGCAGTTAGGTAATGTTCACTCATGCAAATCCATATTAATTCATACAATGTTCATTTATGCTCCATGTTTATGTTTGATCAACCCATGTTACTCAAGCTTCTATGCAGAAAAAATAATCATGCCATCTTATGTTCTATGTTAACCAATCTATGCAAATCCATAGATTGTTTCATTCATGTTTCAATGTTTTGCAAGTTGGGAGTTAATGAATTTGCAAAGCATATTGAAAGAGCTTTAATTTTACATATATGCAAGCTGGATGAGTTTTTATATTCCAATGCAAGTTGAGTTTTAATAAGTTTGCAAAGCAAGTTGGATCAGTCTTTACATTCCTATGCAAGTTGAGTTTTAATAAGTCGCAAGCAAGTTGGGATTTAGTAAGTTAAATATGCAAGTTGGGATGGTTTCACATGTAAAATGTGAACTTAGAATAACACAAGTTGAGTGATTGATGTTATTTATAGGAGAAAGAATTCAACTCCTTAGCTAAGTGAGAGGGGGAGCCTAGTTAAAGTTGTGTGCAAAAAATAAAATAAATAAATAAAAAGATAAAAGCGAATAATTTTTTTATAAATTATATGTAAATTAAATGTACGCTAATGATATCCTTTTCAAAAATAACGATATTATGCAAACTTAAGAAACATTTTCTATATCAACTAAATGTGCTCAAAAATAGAAAAATTTTCAAAATTTGTGAAGGTTCAAGCTCAAGATTACCTCTTTAAAAAGAACCTTTTTTTGGAAATGATCTGAAATAAAATTTGAAGAGGATTTCTCAAAATATTAAAATATTTCTCATAAAATTAAAACCTTTATAAAATAAATTAAAACATTTAAAAATTAAATAAAAAAAACCTTGTTTAAAATTAAAACTTTTTAATAAATCTTAATATTTTTCATAAGACTCAAAATTAAAACCTTTTTTTAAAACTAAAATCTTTTAAACTCAAAAAATTTAATAAAATTAAAAACTATTTAATAAAACTTAAATTTATTTTTTTAAAAATTAAATATTTTAAAATTAAAGACCTTTAAATAAACCTTAATATAAAATTTCCAAAATTAAAATCTTTTTTTAAAGCCTTAGCCTAAAATCTTAATCAAAATCTTGTTAATAAAACTTAACTAAAACCTTTTTAATAAAGCCAAAACTTAAAATTTGTAATGAAATGTAAAATCATTTTTAACCTTATTAAAACTTTTCCAAAAAACAAAATAAACTCAAAACTTTATGAACATAACAAACTAAAACAAAACTAAAGAAATCTAATCTAAAAGAGACAATTCAATTATTCTCCTTGAGCTTAATAATTAAAGAACTTACATAAGTTTTGCAAGACTCTTTTGAACAACAGGAATTATATTCATAAACATATAAGTGTCTCTAGAATGAATATATTCCTCTAGAAGCATGTAATTTCATAAGTTTGGCCTTTGAGTATATAAGTCTTGAGTTATTTCAAGTATAAATAATTCATATATAATTAAGTTCATATTGTTAATATTTTTTGCATGATAAAAAATTCTGTCAAATCATATTTTGTATGAAAAATAAAAATATATTTTGTAAGCATATGGATTAACCTTAAACATGAAGAGTATAAACATGAAAGGTTTGAGTTCAATTCTTTCAAGTATAGGACTCAAACACATGACAATCATAAGAAAAAAAAACAAGAACCCATAGTATAGAAGACTCAATGGTAACAGTTAGGGAAATGTGGCAAATATCGGAGAGAAAATCTTTCTCATTCAACGAAAAACATTTTACTAGAGGCTGGCCTATACCAAATAAACCTACTGTATCAAGATATATAAAATGAAGAAAATCATTGCAAGACCTAGTGTAATAATATTGGAGAGGATTTTGTATGCTTTTTTTTCCTTTTATCTGAATAACTAATTAAATTAATCAAGAGAAGTTACAGGCACAGAAAAAAGATTGTGGTTGGCCTTAATAACATGTAACTACATAAGAAAACAAGTTAATAGTACAGACAAAATTGCGGTTGGCTTCAGGAAACATTAAAGTACAAACTACAAAGTAAACATCATGGCTGAAAGCAATTACCAAAATCATACCTCTGTGATCAACCTTAATTGATGAACATAGTCTCTGCCTGGAAATAGAGGTTCTCGAGTTACAATCTCACCAAGTATGCACCCCACAGACCAAATATCAATAGCAGCAGTATACTCTGAACAATTTAGTAGAAGTTCAGGTGCTCGATACCAACGAGTAACAACATACTCCGTCATGAAATCGGTTTCTGATGTCGTCCTGGCAAGGCCAAAATCTCCTATCTTAAGATCACAGTTCGCATTTAGCAGCAAATTGCTTGGCTTGAGGTCACGGTGTAAAACATGTGCAGAATGAACATATTTTAATCCTCGTAAAATCTGATAAAGAAAATACTGCAAGCCAAAAAGCTGTCTCATAAGATTTATATGCATTAAAAAACTCTTTTGTCACACTGCAAGCAATGGTAAAACAGATAAGGCCATACTTAACAGAATTTGCCATTTACATTTGGTGTGTATACTAACAATGCAAAAATAATTCTGACATCTTTAGAAATTCGGAAGCAACAGAATTAGTTACACAAAGAGTACTGAAGTTTGTTCAGCTATGAACCAAGCTTATAATTTTGAAAATCTCCATATTATGTTATGAGATGATTGTACTTAAGCAAAAAATAATAATTGAACTAAATGCATCTAACTAATTCACAATTAGAAGTAAATTCATCCAGGCATTACACTAAGGAAAATTTTAGAGTTTCTACAAGGCAGAATCTACAAGATAGATAGATGTATGAAATATGAAAGTACTTAATGTTGTCCCAAGTCAAAAAAAAAAATCATAAATACAAGTCAAAATCATATTTTAATGACCAAAAATAGCTAGAAAAAGAGAAGCAGGGAACCTGGCAATGATCATCTGTCAATTGCTGATTAGAACGAATTATCTGCTGAAGGTCAGTATCCATCAGTTCATAAACAATATATACATCATTGAAGTTTTCCCTTAGGGGAGGGCGGATGATGTCCTTGATGGCAATAATCTACAGAGGTAAAATAACTGAATTGTTTGAGTACTGCAACTAAGAGAAACAGCAAGTTGCAATAGTTAAACAAACTAGATTTTTCATAATTGTCGAGCTCATTTAACTTTATCAAGCAAGAATACATATTCTTTATTATTATTGAAACCATAATCTGTAGTGATACTTCTGTTCAGTTTTTTAAGTTTTGCCTTAGTTTTCTGAAAGGAACTGACAAAAAAAGTAATGAAGTCTAAAAATCTTCAACTCCAGCAGAAACACCCCGCAATATGTTCATCGGAATGCATAAAATATAATTAATCAAGCTGTTAACTCCAAGATACTTCAAAAAAAGTCAAAAGGTATCACTTGATTTTGATGTGAATTCAAATTTTTCACCCAGTACCGTAATTTCGTAGTATATTCTTTGTTGTCTAAAAAAGAACTATTTGACCTCCATTAATTGATGATAACAATATGTAGACTTTTCATAAGAATAAGCTGAATTACTTAAAATATTATAGCAGACTGTAACTCTAATCATATTAATGTTTTACTAAGAAGATCATTATAGGTGGTACGGTAATTAATATCAAGTTAGACGTTAGCTTTATGTAATTACTATGTTGCACAATAACATGAGTAGATTACTGCCAAATATCATCATAGACAAAAATATAGTAATAAGATGGTCACTAAATTAATGTTTATATACTTTACACGACTCCTAGAATAGTGGCACAACATAATAAGTTCAATTGTATATTTTAGATCATCATCATCAGCATTAGCTTATCCCAGCAATTTCGGGTTAGCTTTAGAAATTCTCATCTTTCATTCATTGATGTCAAGCTCAAAATTACGTCTTAAACCAATTTTTGGTAGCGCTTCAAATTAGATTATTCCAAGATCTTTAGTTTGTTGTGGAAATGGTTCTTTGTGTTCGAACTCACATGAGTGGAGTGGGGGAGTTTACGATTGAAGGTGAAAAGGTTAGATCCACCAAAAAAGAGGAGATTCAGTGTGCCTTGACTAAATTAGAGTTTTTGCAGATGGAGAGACTAAAGCATAAAATAAAATATGGAGTTTGTGCAAAATATTCTAGGTTATTAGGGTCAAGAACTCGAAGCAATATTAAAATTAGGTCATAAAACCATAATTTTGGTTGAGTGGATGTTTGGCTCTAGTTCTTTGATATTTTCTAAAAAAGAAAAGAAATAAAATGATCCTCCAACTATTTGTGGAAGGCCAAATTTTGTCACGGACTATATAAAAGATTTGCTTTAGTCCTTGTTCTTGTAAATTAGAAGTCAAATTGAACCAATTATGAAAAATAACAAAAAATTATGTTACAATAAACTAGTGATGCTAAAAAAGAGAGTATCTTAGGAATTTATTTTTTTTTTTTAATAAAATCTATTAAGTGGATTTTTTTAAGTTTGAGATATTTTGCAAGAAACTTATTAATACTGATTGCCATAATTTAAATTTTAATATGTAATCATAGAACCTAAGAAAATGAAGTAAAAAATATTGAGAATGTTATCGCTAAATTCTATCCCAAATAAGTTTAGTATATTAAAATTTATAAAAAATTTAAGAAAAAGATGTAAATTACTATAATACTATCATTTTAACACCAATTAGTAACTACAACATCAATATTTTTTTTTATTTTAATGGCAAGATTATTTTGGCTCCTACTTTAAGAATTAACATGACTAAAGCAAACTTTTTATCTAGTCCTAAAATAGCCCCTCACAAGTAATCATAGAACCATTTTGATTATTTTCTCTTCTCCAAACACATGGTTAAATTTTACTTTATTGGGGTGAGAAGAGATGGGGGAAGATTAGATAATAAAATTTAATTCAAAATTAAAAAAAATGCTTAAATAACATTTTATAAAAAAATATGCCTATCGGCCACTAAACGCAAGCGAAGAGAGAAAAATCTAGAAAATAATTAAACATTTCCATCCAAATGTTAAAAAATGATGCCCCAAAGCAATAACAGCATAATTAAACAAGTTCTAATGAATTTCAAAATTATAAAATGTAGGGGAGTAGGAAGCTGCCCCTTGATTTGTGGATCATGGTTGATGTGGCACTTACAGTTGACTTGGGCTGATTTTAGAGCTCTCCTTGGCCGTCTCGGAGTTTAGGTTTCAACTCATGCCGACTTCCATTTGACTCACACCAAACCATGAGTCCATAAAGAACTACTCTTGGCAAATTTTAGCCAATACAAAGTCTTGACTAGTCTCCACTGTTCTTACACCTTATGACTTACTGATTACCCCTATATTAACTTTACGCCCTTATGCATATATTACATTTATCCCAGAGTTTCCTAAACCCAACAAATAAATTCAATAACAAAGAATATTTTTACTCACATGTTAACATGAACAAAAACGCATGCATTCACATGCATTCAAAGTTGGTCATTATCATAACTTATATTTTATATAACTTGTGATAAGCCTATAATGCAATACATCAATTTTACAAAAATATTGTAGCATGACTTCTACCAAAATTTCCTTTAGTCTATATTTTTTTCTTTCAAATCCTTTTGCATTAATTTATGTCTTTCATAGGTGCAATTTACTCTTCATTATGCATGCTCAAACCATATAAGTTTATTATCCAATAATTTATCTTCAAAAGATACTACACCAACCATCCCTCTGATATAAGTATCAAAATCATTAATTTTGACATATATCCATCTTAACATTTTCATTTCATCTAAAATTAATTTTTTAATCAATGATTTCTTTATTTCCCACACACTGAGAACAATTTTTTATTGAACTTAGTTTTTAGCCATCATGATATTCCCTAATTACATAACACTCCTATGAAAATTCTCAAATTTAAGCAAACGAACTTACTCCAAAAGTTACATCATTTATATCCACATTCGTCTATAGAATGAATATAATATGCTTAAATTTATCACATCAAGTTATTACATCGTCTTTAGGGATATTGGCTAAAAGCTAGTAATATCACACGCACTAAAATTATTCTACAAATTTCAAACATTTTATCTTTTAAACATTTTCATCAATGTTCCAAACTTCAATTTATTTTAAAATGGATTCATAAATTAGAATTGTCATAATTAAATGTACATCAACATATTTGACCATGAATAGCTTTTGTAAGCTACTTTCTAACAAGCATAAGAAGAGGCATACTTAATACTTACCATTAATGGAAATTGTCAGAATTTTAAGAATTTTCATTTTTGATATCTTTTATTTTTATTATTTTCTGTTTTTAATAGTTTATTGCTTTTAGAATTAGATATTTGTTGGTAATTTTTATGTCCTTTTTATAACATGAGGACTTCGTGTATTTTCTAATGTGATGACCTTCCCCTTTTATTTATCTTGTGAGTCATTGAAAATTAAAGAGGAATAATATTTTTCCCCTACGAAATACATGATATTAGAGCCCATCTTCGCAATTGAAAAGACGACTTCATCTCATTGAGATTGTCTGCAGGTTTTGTTGCGTGACTGCTACTCCCTCCCGAGTTAGCCCAATGCCATCATCTTTGTGATCGATTTTGTTGTGTGACTCCTACTTCCTCCTAAGTTCACCCAATGCCACTATCTTCGTGATCGACCCCTCATGATACAGTCTCGATCATAGCTAGTTGGGAAGGCAACGATTGCATCGCGACATTTGGAGATCCCTCACGAGAACATCGCAATTAGAGCTCATAGGGAAGGCAACAACTGGATTGTGGCGTTCAAAGACCCTCGCAATAGAGTCATTATTAGAGCTAGCAGGGAAGGCAACTACTGGATCGCGACATTCACAGACCCGAACTTCTTGTCCTTCTCTTTTGAACTGGAAGCCGCTTCTAAGTACAAGATTCTTTCTAGTAGGGACATTAGCCGCCACCTCTATTTTTTCTTTCACTTTCACAGTTTTTTTTTGTTTTTTGGCAGTAGGCTTTTTTGTCGGTTTCTTCTCGTTCTTCGGTGCCATTAAAATTTGTAATTTGAGGAATAAAAGACTTCTTTCCATTCCTCCTCTAGTTTTCAAGGAGAAGGCATTTGTTCCAGAGTGTCATGAACAGGAGAATCGAACTAGATCGAAAGTAGGCCCATCAAATATTCAATCTCCTTCAACCCTTCGGCTTCTTCGATGCTAAAATAGCCAACTTCTCCAATACTCAAATTTAAGAGCCGAAATAAAAAGTGGTCGAAATTGACTCAAATTTTTGGGCTCGTCCTCTTCTCGTCTCTAATGATGTCATACAAATCGACGATGAATAACGCCCAAAGAAATTCTACCATTTCTATTATTTTCAGTAATTCCAAAACCATTTTGCCCTACCCATGGTGGAGTGAGCATTACAAAAAATTATAGCACATGAACAAGGCATGTTGGATGCTTCATCGTGAACCAACAAATTGGAAACCCAAATCCAAACTTGAAAGTTGGGTCTATCAAGCCACTACTAGTAAAACTCGAGAACCTTCTACCTACTAGGATGCAATACATTTCACAAAGGAGCGAAGGAGCAATTAGAGCACCTACACAAGTTGTTTCAATCACCAAAATTGTCACTAACTTCGTCTTTTGTACAGAAGGATAGTTGTCTATCCACTGCATTAATACGTGTTAACTCTAATTTTTGTATTCTTGGATACTTGATTCTGACACAATTGATCATATAATTGGTTCATCTTATAGACCTTGTGAAGGCAATAACAAAGTCAAAATTGGCAATGGTTCTCACTCGACTCAATAATTGTCGAGATAAGAACTGTCAAATTCACATCGTTGTTAACCCTTCGTGATGTGTTCCATGTTCCCAACTTGTTTTGTAATCTATTGCATATTAGCAAAATTACTTCTGACAATTAGTATCAAGTTAATTTCTACTCTTCTTGTTGTGAGTTTTAAGAATTGATCACTGGGAGAATGATTGATAGAGCTAAGGAAAAGAATGGACTATATTATTTTGATAATGGACCTCATGAAAATAAATAA